TGTTGTTTTTCTTTTTTTTTTTTTTTTTTTTTTTTTTTTTTTTTTTTTTTTTTTTGGTTTTTCGAGACAGGGTTTCTCTGTGGCTTTGGAGCCTGTCCTGGAACTAGCACTTGTAGACCAGGCTGGTCTCAAACTCACAGAGATCTGCCTGCCTCTGCCTCCCAAGTGCTGGGATTAAAGGCATGCGCCACCACCGCCCAGCTATAAGTTTTTTTTTAAAGTGAAATTGGAGCGTGGGGGGTGTGTGTCCAGGGGATTGAATCTAGGGGCATTTGAGGCTAGGCAAGCACTGTATTGCTCCATTGAGCTATGCCTCCTGACTGTAAGCTTAATGATGCTTTCAAAAGTTCCTGGTCACAGTCCTGTTGTTGCATGTCTGTGATCCCAGCACCAGGAGGTGCAAGTAGAATGGCCAGCTTTGGCTACCTATAACTATCAAAGCCAGCCTAGGTTACATGAAGCCTCACCTTACCAAAAAAAAAAAAAGAAACCTGTTTATTTAGAGACTGAAGTACATTTGGCTTAAGGAGAAACTAAGTTGAGTAGGGAAGCCATTGATTACATATTATTTATTTTTGTGATCCTAGGGCTCAAATCTAGGTCTCTCTCTATCATTACTTTTTATTAGTATAGCTTGGTTACAGTAGTGGGCCCTCATCGCAGCTCCAGTTGAAGTACTTGCTGCTCATTACATTTATTTCTGCACACACAGGCCCAGGAGGTTCAGTTCAGGAAACTGTTACAAGACACTTTTCTTCTTGGTAGAGACTGGTTATACATGTTTGTCTTGCAGAAGAGAAGGAATTGTTTAGCCTTTTGTACTGGAGTATATGGAATTGTTTTTAAAAATACAAGCATTAAACATCTGTTAACTGTTTGTTCTTAGGTGTTGGTGGAATGAGCGTTGCATGTGTCTTGAAGAGAAAAGCAGTGCTTTGGCAGGACTCTTTCAGCCCCCACCTGAAACATCACCCTCAAGAACCAGCTAATCCCAACATGCCTGTTGTTTTGACATCTGGAACAGGGTCGCAAACGCAGCCACAGCCAGCTGCAAATCAGGCTCTTGCAGCTGGGACACACTCCAGCCCTGTCCCAGGATCCATAGGAGTTGCAGGCCGTTCCCAGGACGACGCTATGGTGGACTACTTCTTTCAGAGGCAGCATGGTGAGCAGCTTGGGGGAGGAGGAAGTGGTGGAGGCGGCTATAATACTAGCAAACATCGATGGCCTACAGGGGATAACATTCATGCAGAACACCAGGTAAAAAAAGTTCCCTATTTCAGCTTTAAGACTCTTCTAATCACTGTCCGCTTAGGCTGTCTGCTTTTAATGACTTTCTTAAACTCTTTGATTGCTTATTTAGTTTGTTGTAATCAAGAGTCACTTCTTTTAAAGAATGGTTGTTCATTGTAATTGCCACTGGGTTATTTACCATTCTGGTGTTATATAGTAAATCCACTAAAGAAATCTCAAGACTGTTTTAATGTTCACAATGCATTTCTAGGAATATTGTTAACAAAATATCTGTTTTTCACCATGATATGCTTTTAAGAATTGTTTGGATTTAAATCAGAGCCTTTCTGTTGGCTTGGGTGACTTATCTTTAAGATGCTATTGTTTGGAAGCAATGTGAGAATGTTTAAATTCCCAGGAAGAATTAAACTTGATGGTTGTTGCAAATGGAATAATTAAAAGGAATATTGAAATAAAAAGATGTTATGGTTGAAAGTAGGGGAAATTAAGAAATCATCTGCTCATTTGAGGTTTGTTTGAAGTGGAACTGATGAGTGCTCAGTGTAAGGGTTGGTTGTGTCTTAGGTCCCTCCTCCAAGGTTTCTCTGGGTAGCCCTGACTATCCTGGAATTTGCTCTGTAGACCAGGCTGGTTTTAAACCCAGAGACAGCCTGCCTCTGCCTCCTGACTGCTGGGATCAGAGGTGTGCACCACAAACTGGTGGTTTTACTTTCTTATTCAGTAGAAATGTATTGAGCAGGTTGATCGTAGATCTTTTTTTTACTGGTGTAGGTATGTGTAGGTGAGGATGCTAGTGATAAGGCAAAGGAAATATCTTCCGCTCCTGAGTCATTTTTATTTTTTAAAGATTTATTTATTTATTGTGTGTACAATGTTCTGCCTGCATATATGTCTGCAGGCCAGAATAGGGCACTAGATCTCATTACAGATGGTTGTGAGTCACCACGTGGTTGCTGGGAATTGAACTCAGGACTTCTGGAAGAACAGCCAGTCCTCTTAATCTCTAAGCCATCTCTCCAGCCCTCCTGAGTAAATTTTAAGTTTTATTTTGTACTTATTGCAAAGACTTCATTTGTTTACTGTTAATGCAGTGCCATCCTTTTTTCCTTGGCAGTACTGAAGATAGAACACTAGTCCTTTGAGCTTCATAGCCAGTATCTCTATTTCTGAAAAACTACATCCTCAGAATTTTTTTTAGAGACTTGAAGGTAGTAATTAAATGTACACATCTCTTTGAGACCAGCCTGGTCTACAGAGAGAGTTCTAGGATAGTTAGGCTACACAGAGAAGCTCTGTTTCCAAAAAAAATTTTTTTTTTTTCCTAACTTAGTATTCTATTCTGTAGACTTTAGCATGTAGGAAACTTTGGGTCTGAGTTTGATGTCACGTGCCTTTAATCACAGTATTTGGGATATGCCAACACCCTGTTTCAAAAACACCAAAAATAAAATATGGGAAGAAATCTATTGGTTCCATGATTACCTAGCCTTTTGGTCTTTCAGTAAGGTTGTAGAAAACTGACATGGTAGAGGAAAAGGACTTGAATGCCAGGCCAAGATGTGATTCTCTAGGCAGCATTGTTTGGCATGGCTTTTATGTAACCTTGGTAGTATTCTAATGAGAAATGGGTAGTGACCAAGTTCCATTGGACAACATTTTGAGGATTTTTCTTCTTTCTATTTTATTTTTGTTTTTTGAGACAGGGTTTCTGCTGTGTATCCCTAGCTGTCCTGGAACTAGTTCTGTAGACCAGGATAGCCTTGAATTCACAGAGATCCTCTGCTTCCTGAGTGCTGGGGTTAAAGGCGTGTGCCACCACCGCCCTGCGAGTGTTTTGCCTCATGTATGTATGTGTATGATGTGTGAGCCTGATGTCTGTTGAGGTTAGAAGAGGGTGTTACAAGGGACCTGGAGTTACAGATGGTTGTCAGCACAGTGGGTGCTGGGGACTGAGCTTGGACTTGTACTCTTAACCATTGAGCCATCTCTCCAGCCCCCCACCCTCTCATTTTTTCTTTCCTTTCTTTTCTCTCTCTCTCTCTCTCTCTCTCTCTCTCTTTATTTTTTTTTTTTTTTTTTTTTTTTTTTTTTTTTTTTTTTTTTTTTTTTTTTAGACAGGGTGCTTTTTGTAGTCCTGACTGTCCTGGGACTCACTTTGTAGACCAGGTTGGCCTTAAACTCAGATCCACCTGCTTCATCCCTGCCTCTGGAGTGCTGAGAATAAATCACACCCGGCTCCTCCCTTTTTCCCCCCTTTTTTGGTATTGTCTCTGTAGTGCAGGCTAGCCTAGGACTGTCAATTACTGTGCCTCAGCCTTCTGAGTGTTGGAGTTCCAGGTGCAACCCGTTCTGGATAACAGCTTGAACAGATACATGAAGTATAAGCATGAGAGACTGAGTTGTAACTCAGTGGCAGAAGCTTGCTTAGCATGCTTGAGGCCTGGGTCTGAACCCCAGTTGATGGAGGAAGGTCATTGGTTAATTAAATAAAGAAACTGCTTGCCCTGATAGGTTAAAACATAGGTGGGAGGAGTAAACAGAACAGAATGCTGGGAGGAAGAGGAAGTGAGCTCAGAGACGCCATGCTCCTCCTGCGATAGCTCTGCTCTCTGAGGCACCCACGATGAAGCTCCAACCCAGGATGGACGTAGGCTAGAATCTTCCCAGTAAGTGCACCTAGCGGTGCTACACAGATGATTAGAAATGGGCTAAATTAATATGTGAGAATTAGCTTAGAAGAGGCTAGATAGAAATGGGTCAAGCAGTGTTTAAATGAATACAGTTTGTGTGTTGTTATTTCGGGCATAAGCTAGCAGCCCCGCCGCTCCATATTACAACACCCAGCAGTGCCAGAAACCTCACAGAAAAAGATAGGGAGCTGAGATGTGTGGCATTGTTAATTACAAATGCTGGGGTCCTGGCTCATGAAGTAACAGGACAAGTAGGTAGTCTACATGTTGAGTTTAGGTAAAGATGGGATGCAGTAGGTAGATGCTATATGTGGAGAGGTGTCAAGTTAAGACTACATGTTTGGGTGGCACCTTTGGAAAGGCAAAGCAGAAAAAGCCCCTTATCTCTTGACTTGGCCAAATGTTTAGAAGTCATACATAATCTTTGCTTTTAAAATCTGTGCTATAATCCTGGTGATGGCAGTGCACAACTTTAATACCAGCACTTAGGAGACAGAGGCAGACAGATCTCTGAGCTCAAAAGGCAGCTTGGTCTATACATTTCTAGTACAGCTGGAACTACACAGAGAGACTCTGTCTTGAATTTCTCCTCAAAAACAAAAAAGCAAACCTCTGTGTTACAGACCTGAAGCTTCTTATATTGACTTTCCTTGTCCCAGGGTGGTGCATAAAAGATTCAAACTTAGTATATTTTTGCAAAGCGAGCAGATTAGACTCTGGATCAGTTGATAGCAGAGTTCTGAAATCTAAGATCTGGTTGTGCAAGTCACCAAATGTTTTCTTTAAGGCTTACTCTTCTTGTCTGAAGTGAGCCCTATAATGAGGATCACATCTGATTTACCAGGCAGTTTGTTTAGCAAAGCAGTTAGAAATCAGTGGCAAACCGGTTTACTACACAGGGTCCTAAACCAGCGCTTGGCTTGGAGTTAACTAACAGTCACCATCACACTGTAGTGGGGAGGGTACCCCAGTAATGCACAATGGTAGAGAACTCTGGGTCGCTGATACGTAGTTATGGGGAATCCACATACTTACACAGTAATTATTGTGTGTTGTTATGTCGTGTCCCCCCCCCTCCATTGGTGTAGTTGATAGCATCTTACTCTGACCTGGCACTTGATGGGGATTCTCTTGCCTCTTTCCTGAGTGCTGGGATGACAGCCATGTCTGGTTTGGTTTTGGTATTTGCCTCACTTTTTGGAACGAACTAATGTAGGGCAGAGGTTCTTGTGCCTTTTCCCCTGGATGCGTTCTTTTAATTTTTTAACTCAGGTAAAAACAGCTGTTTAATTTTGCCCTCAGACAAGTGGGTCTTCCAGCTTAGCTGTCCCAGAAATGACAGGCTAAAGGTAGACACCTTGTGAAAGAAGTTGCAGAGTACAGGGGAGGGCTGTGCAGGGGTGTGTGATCTAAGCCAACTTGGTCTAGTCTGAGACCTTGTTTTTGTTTTTGTTTTTAAAGGCAGCTGAGGTGGCCAACTCCTGTTATCCCAGCACTGAGCAGGAGGAACACTAGAACAGAGAGACATGACTAGGTAGGGACCCTGCTCTTTTCAGCCACTGTTACAGGTGAGGGTGAGAGGATGTGTGAGCTCAGGTAGGTTGAAGTAAGAGTTTTTGAGAGCCAGACAGGTTCTAGTCACTGAGTTCTGTAGTTCCTGGATTTGATCCTTACAGTTGAGGTAGCTTATTTCTAGGGACAAGAGACTGAAGCTTAGCCATGAGGCAGTTTCTAATGCTAGTATTACAGGAATGTACCACCACCATGTCCAGCAGTGTAAGTGTGGGTGCAGTTTGTAAGCTCTTGGTAGACTTCTGCCTTCCCAGGAAGATATGCTAGACCTCAGAGAACTGTTGGAACAAAGTAGCACATTCTTAGGCCAATGGATTGCTTTACTGGGACGGTAGAGACCATAAGCTTGACAGTAGATAATACAAACGATGTTGACTGTTGTCTCATCCAAATGTGACTGAAGACTTGTTTTGTGTTTGGTGTATGTTCTCTTTTTATGAGGGGGTGGTAATGTCTAAGTAGTAATTTTTGGGAAGTTATTTATCTCTGTAGAGATAGGGTCACAATATGAAGTGACCAGTGCCTGCTACTTCAGTGCCTGCTACTGTACTGCTGGTTATTCATTTTTTGGGGGGCTGTTTACTTTTCTTTTTCTCCTTTTCTTTCTTTGGTTTTCAAGACAAGGTTTCTCTGTGTAACAGCTCTGGCTGTCCTGGAATTCACTCTGTAGACCAGGCTGTTTTGTGTGATAATTTTGTTTTGTTCTGCCAAATAAAGCTTACCTGGGGATCAGCTAGCCACTAC